TCCAGCCCCTCTAAAAGTGTAGTATTTTTTAAATGTAACTTGTCCATATTCATACATACAGAATCCAGGCACTCTGTGTCCAGAAAGATTTGATCCATTGCAATCAGGTAAATTTATACTGAACATTGATAAGCCAGTATGGATTAAGACCTTCTTGTGTTGAAAATAACTGCCCGAGAGTTCTAGAGAAAATCTTAAGCAGGCAAGGAACTGCTCTTTTAGAATTTGGCAAATCTGAACTCCAGAATGCATGGACCAGGCTTTAAACATTAGAGGCATGTAACTCTAAGCCCTGAGAATCAGACTTATGACTTAAAATCCTCAGAGGCTGAGGATTATCAGTATGGACTTTCAAAGCCAGAGATTTATGGCTCTAGTCCTTGAGAATTGGGGGCTTGTGGCTCTAGGCTCTCAACCCTGAGTGTTCAAGTCAGAGGCCCATTGCTGTAGGCTCTGAGTGTTGAATGGCCCAGCACCTTGTGCTAGTGTAAACAGCTCCATGTTTGAGTGTCCAGTCCCTCAGCTCATAACCCTTGGTGGCTCTCTAGAATTCTTCAGCCACTTTCTAGCTGCTGAGTAAGCTGAAGGCTTATGACTCTAGGAGTCCTGGGGACTTAGAACCTCAAGAGTCACTTTCTAGTCGCCTTCTAGCTGCCACTGCAGCCTGGTGCCTAAAGCTAAACCCAGCATTTCATCTATTCTTACTTCTCAGTGTTATCTGCCCCTCTTATCCATGATAAAAATATAAGTAGGCAATAAAAGAACACCTAGAAGAGAGTTTTTTGTTTATTTGGGTTTGTTTTTGGTCTTTCTGAGACAGGGTCTCCCTGTCAGCTAGCCTGGTACCCACTATGTAAGCCAGGCTAGCCTCAACCTCACAGAGATCTGCCTGCCTCTGCCTTCTGAATGCTAGGATATAGGTGTGCACCAGCCACCACACCCAGCTCTAGAAGAGGTTTTCATTGAGGCCTCATAATATAGCCCAAGAGGAATGGTTAGTGTACAGGAGGAAGTCTCTCAAAATGACCTGAAAAGAGTAAAAAACAGCCTGCTTATATAGCCAGAGGAGAGGGGGTGACAGGCTTCTACACAACTTCCAGTTCTTCCAGTCACAGCCTTGTTTGCACAGCTTCTAGTTCAACCAATCACAAGCCTTACCTACACACTGTGGATTGAGTTTCTAGAAGAAAAGAGCTGCACCTCTGTTAAAGATTCTACAAGGTAGTGTTACCACCTAGGGGTCTTGATCAGGTTCATTTTCTCTGCCAATTAAAGAATAAAAAGGCAAAAGTAAAGAAACACGCACACATACTCATACAGAGAGAAAAGCTCTCCACAACTAGAGAGGGAATTCAGAAACCAAAAAATCCAAAGCCCCCAGGAGGGCTTGGGTCTTTTAAGCATCTTGGGTGGATCCTCCTCTCCTAAATTTGAAATGGTCAACTTAAACAAAGAAGAAAGAACTAATAGGCTACAGCACCAAGCTGAGATATGTCCAGGTCCAGCCTTGGTTAACTTATCTGAATTGAGAAGGGGGCCTAGCCACCAGGAGAAAAGCCTACCCGGTCTTTGTCTCAGAACAAGAAGGAACGCAAAGTGTGCCATCTTTATTACTCCTCACTGACCCTTCTACTTGTCAGAGACAGTCCTTTAACAGTAGGACTAAGAAGATGACCCAGTAGATAAAGCACTTGCATAAAGACTAGAGTGGGGTTCCTCAGAACCCACATAAAAATCTAGAGTGGTAGTTGCCCACAATCCCAGCGTTCAGGAAGCAGAGATGGGACTCCCCCAAAGCAAGCTGACTTACCAGATTAGCCATTTTACAAGCTCTGGGTTCAAGTGAGAGACACTGCCTCAATAAATAACATGGAGAGCGACCAAGGAAAACAGTAGACATCAACTTGGGGCCTCCACACGCACATGCATATATGTGCAAGGGCTCCCACATACATGCAAACACATACATACATGAATACTGCAAATATATACATGCACACATGGACACATACACAAGATTCTCCAAGGCCAAATGACTGAATTTAGTGATTATGAAAAGTAAAAACGTTGGAGACCAGAGTCAAATTTTCTTGGGCTTTTAGTCCCTTTGAAAACTGTTCATTCATTGCCTACCCCATGTCTGATCTAATATCCTGTGACTATCAAAACCTTACAATGTATTCTTAGCAAACCAGTAACTTCCACTCATCCAAAACTAAGAATGTTATTAAATAACATAAAACCAATGGCAGAATTTTCCTTGCTCGATGTAACCTGCGCCTCGATCTATGACTTTCTTTGTTCTATATCTTATAAAATCTCATATAACCACTTCCACAGTGGAACATGGTGTTTGGGGCAACCTAAATCTGTGTTCCTGGGCCACTGTCATATTTGACTCCAGAATAAACTGTATCCTATTACCTTTGAGGAGAGAGCTGAGTCTTTCTATTAGCACCATCTACAACCTCACAGAGGCACTAATCACAAACTCTGCTGAGTCACTGGGAAGGTAGCTAAGGTCATATAGAGTTCATGAAGACTTGTCTTGGTTGAGGTGAAGTCTCCTGGAGCCAGGAAATAGATGGCTGTAGTAGCAGCAGCTGTGGTCTCAGTGACCTTGGTGTCCACAGTGTTCCTTGGAGTTGGAGTGGACTTTCCTCACAATGACTGAGGAGTATTCCTGTGCCTTGGCTTAACGCCAAAAAAGAGCTGTTTTGTTAGCACCCCTCAAGGCAAACACAAGTGAAGAGTCATCAGATGTCAGTCAAAGATGGATTAGACTGTTGTCTACAGCTTTGCTCATTTAAAACACTGAATTCTGCTGCTAACAATAAAGACCTGACAGGAAATGGGCATTCTCCACAGTACTTAACACTCATAAAATAAAAAAAATAATAATAAATAAATAAAAGTACTGCTAGATGAAGAACAGCTGACCTTCCTAAAACAAAGACCTCTAAATTGGCTGACTAGATTCACCAGAAGGGCAAGTAGTGGGGAACGGCTGGGGTTGCCGACAGTAGCAGTGATATCAGAGTATAAGGGTTCTAGTTGGGGGAGGGAGGCTATGGGAGGGTGTTATCTGGAAAGTGAAATAATAAATAAAAGTTTTTTTTAATTTAAAAAAATAAATAAAATAAAAATGAACCTTACAAGGTGAGGCGAGGCGTGTTGGGGCACACCTTTAATCTGTGAGTTCAAGGTCAGCCTGGCCTACCTAGTGAGTTCCAGGACATCTGGGACTTTGTGCATGGTGAGACCCTGTCTCAAACAACAACAACAAAAAAACCACAAAGAGCCTTCCACTGGGACAAGCCCAGATTACCCAAATTCTTCTGAGTCCTTCCTAATTCCTCTTCCTTTTTGTCAGTTTTAAAGTTTGGGTGGCAAAGGAATTTGGATTCTTTAAGAGATTTTCTTAAATTTTAAAAATTAGATCTAATTGTAATAAGCAATGAAAATAGACATTTAGCTAATTCTTGAGAATCACAAACGTGTGTTCTGAGAGAGTGTGAAGCTGTTTCTCACTTTCTATGCTAAGGTGTCTTTAAAGATTAACTTCTAGTCTGGGGCTGTAGTTTAGTGGTAGAATAGTCATCCAAGTACAAGGCCCTGGGGGGAGGGACAGAGAGAAGAGAGGGGAAAATGGGGGTTGGGGGCAGGACAACAGACAAACCAGATGAATGAGAGAATACTAGACTGTCCTATCTAGGATTAAAATTCTATGATTTTGTGGTTTTATTTTTCTTTTTAGACAGAGTATCACGTAGTTAAGACTGACCTCCAACTCCATATGGCATTGAACTATTGATCTCTTGTCTGTATCCTTTGAGTGTTTGGGTTATAGGCATGCGCCACCACACATGGTTTTTATGTGAGCCCAGGGCTTTGAGTATGTTAGGCAAGCACTCTACCAGTTGAGCTATCTCTCCAACCCAGGTTGAAATTTGAGTACTCAGTAAACCATATTTTGGTATCTTTGACTGTTTAAAAATGTCCTGGAACCAAACCTAGACATGGATTACCATTTTACCCCTTTTTAAAATAGGCTCTTGCATTATAACTCACGCTGGTATTCATGATCTTCCTGCCTCAGCCTACCAAATGCTGGGATTACAGACATATGTCACTATACCCACCCTATCTTTTATTTTTAAAACTGTAATGAAGGAGCTGGAGAATTGTAGTTCAGTTGTTAAGAGCTCTGGCTGCTCTTACAGAAGACCTAGGTCTGGTTCCCATCACCCATATGGTGGCTAACAGCTGTCCTTAACTCAAGGTCCAGGGGATCTGATGCCCTCTTCTGGCCTCCTCAGGCATTGCACATAGGTGTTACATTTACATACATGCAAGTAAAATGGTCATAAAAAAATAAGAGTAACTTTAATAAAACGTAATCTCTATCTTCCCAGATTGAATGCTATATTGATTCAGTCATTTTTTTCATTGAACATGTGATACAGCAGGTAGAGCTGTTGATGATCCAGTGGCTCTGGTTGTTCTAGAGTCATTCTCATCAACAGGTTTTACATAATCCTCTATTAAGAAGTGATGCATTCTGGGGCAGGCATGGTATCACACCCCTTTAATCTCAGTTCTTGGGAGGCAGAGAAAGACTGGAATTCAAAGTCAGACTGATCTACATAGCAAATTCTAGGCTAGCCAAGGATACATTGTAAGAGAGACCCTGTCTCAAAAAAAAAAAAAAAAAAAAAAAAAGTGATACATTCCAAATTTCATTTTCAATTGAAGTAGTTGGAAGCCTTTCTTTAACACTGAAACTTTACTATTACCATTGCAAAACAAACAAACAACAACAACAATAAAAGCAAAAGAACTTGGGTCCTTTGGGGCCAAATATTTATCTGAGCAGCAATAAATGGAGAGTGAGTGCAATCGTGTGGAAAGATGGGCCAGAACAGAAACAGCATCATAGGAAGTAATTGCACAGTTATCTGACCATTGCTATCTGCTGCTCCATTCTTCTCTCTCCCTAGGTGAGCGTGTCAAACCTTTTACTCCAGAGAAAGCAAAAGAAATTATAATGTCTTTACAGCAACCTGCAATCTTCTGTAACATGGTTTTTGATTGGCCAGCACGACACTGGACTGCAAAGCACCTTTCTGAGGTTCTTCAGGGCAAGAAAATTCAATTCAGAATGGGCCTGAGAAGCAGAGACACAGGTAGTGATAATCACTGTCGCCATGCCCCCAGTAGTGCTCCCCTTCGTCATTACCCCCCCCAGCAGTGCCACCCCCAGCAGTGCCGCCCACAGTAGTGCTCCTGCCCCCACAGCAGTGCTCCTGCCCCACAGCAGTGCTCCCGCCCCCATAGTAGTGCTCCCTCCCCTAGCAGTGCTCCCCCCCAGCAGTGCCCCCCCCAAGCAGTGCTCTGCCCCCAGTAGTGCTTGCCCACCTCTAGGCAGTCCTTTATCGCAATTCTCTTTTTGATCATTCACTGTACAGACAGCAAAATGTTATAGGAAAAGTGTGGATAAATAGTTTGACCTAGTGCGAGTAAGTTCAAGTAATAAAGTTTAAACTCCCGCACTAAACAAAAATGTGTTTATTCATATATTACACTTGTTGTTAGACATTATTGTGGCTTATTGAGCAAGGTAGACAATAAATAATTTGCTGTATGTGTTATATTTATGTTCCCATGCACTGAAAATAACAATACTATAATCTAATAATATAAAACTACAGTGTAAGAATGCAGTAATCTAATAACCAATAATATAATTTTATAGTCCCTTTCTACTTTTGATTCTTGTAGAATATGTCATTTCACTTATGACTTCAGGCTATTTATAGTGCTTAGTCTTGGTTATCATTTTGTCTTTTGCTTTATAGGCTGCTTGGCCTTTACTGCATTGCATAACCATAAAACATATGTAGAGCTGCTTATGTGTACGTAGTGCTAGGATTGAACTTGAGCCTTATGTAAGCTAGCACTCACTGAACTACACTTCTGCCCAACCTTTATCCTTTCTAAACAAGGTCTTATGGGGTTGCCTGGGCTGGTAGTCAATGCCTAGCTTAAGTAATGACCCTGCCTCAGCCTTCTGTATAACTGGGTTGTACAGAAGGCCATACTGTGTGCTGTACTGCTTTTGGTTTTATTTTTATTGTTGTTTTTACTTTCTTTACTAGTCATAGATTAACTGTGCTTACTCCTTTTTTTTAATCCAAGAACACATAGAATACTTTATGGTTTTACCTTGATATTGGATAAAGGGATTATCATTAGTTCTAAAATGTAGCTGTTGTAAAGAACATAATCAGTGTTTCTAATTTAAAGGAGTCAATGGCCATGTTCTGGTCTGTAACTTGCATTTTAGTATGAGTTAACTGGTAGTGTAGAAACTCAGTGTTTAAGCACTGTAAAGTTAAGTTTGTGGCTTATAAATATCTATTAATAACTCAAGAGGAACTAGAAATTTTACCAGTTTCCCTTACAGCAATTCCAAGCTTCTTTCTCCCATGTTGACCTTGTAGTGTATCTCCTGCAGCTTGTTTTTGGTGTCCAGAGCCCTCTTGGTCTCCCATGACAGATAAAGGATTACTGGACCTTTGGCATCTCATTCTAACCACAGCCTTAACTGTATTTTAAAATTAAATAATAAACTAGGTGTGGTGGCACATGCCTAATCCCCAGCACTCAAGAGGCAGAGGCAGGAGGATCTCTGTAAGATCTCTGTAAGCCAGCCTGGTCTACATAGTAAGTTCCAAGCTAGCTGGGGCTACAGGGAAACCCTATAGATTGTGCTTTTTCTCTTCAATTTGTAAAACATACCTGTCACGCACTAAGGTGTCTCTTAGGTATTAACATGAAATAAAATACAAGTTGTAGTATTTTCATGTCCCGGTTAGACTCTGATTATAGCACAACTACAGGTAGCTAGCATTTGCTGAAAATGACTTACCTAATTCTCTCTTAATATGCTTACCACCATCCTAGCATGGCTGTACTATTATTACAAATGAGTCCTAGTAGTTTGACACTTTCAAGTTAATACATAAGCATAAAAGAAAGTTTAAAAAATATCTCTGCAGTTATGAGAAACTATTCTGAGTTTTAATAAAGATAACTTAGTCTTTTTAAAAAATTCAAATAGAATTCACATAGCATAAAATTTAGCATTTAGCCATTCAAGAGTGCTTGATACAGTAGTTTATTAGTATTTTCTCAGTGTTGAACAGTCATCAGCACTAATTTCAGAACATTTTCATTATCCCATGATGAAGGCCAGTGTTCTTTAAGCAGTTTGCCCAGCACCCTCCATTCCGTCCATGTGAATTTGCCCATTCAAGATGTATCATATAGATGGAGCCATAGAATAGTTGGCCCCTGTGTCTGGTTTCTGTCACATAGCATGTTTCCAAGGCTCATCCATAAAGTAATGTAAGTTGGACATTCCCTAATTTGAAAATCTAAATTTTAAAATGCTTCTAAATATAAAATGCTTCTAGATATGAATTTTTGAGCACTAGCATGATGCCACCACTGGAAATTCCACATGTGATCTCATGCAGCAGGTTATAATAGGCCAAGTGTATAATCTTTAGTCTAAAATTGTATAATGCTGCTTTTAGCCTGTGTACATAAGGAAGATAAGAACTGTCTGAATTTCATATGTAGAGTAGGGTCCAATCCACAGGAGGCTCATTGTGTATATGCACATGTACATAATGGCATAAGAAAGCTGACACTGAAGTCAGCAGCATTGGGTTCATATTCTGGCCTACTGTGGGACCTTGAGCAGGTCAATGAACTTCTGTATTAGAAGTATTTTCAAAATTAAATTGCCTGTATGTACAAAGCATTTAGAATAGTGCTGGCCACACGGTATAAGTTTCCAACAAATATTTTTAAATAGAAATAATTTAAAATGAAAGTATGGCTTTTTCATTGTAAAAGAAAATTGGAGAAAATAGAAAGACCCATACCCCAGAAATAATAGTTATACTGTAATGTATATCCATACAAACCTCTTTGTATTTAAGAATTAAAACTGGATTGATTTTCACAGGAATGTTTTTTTTTTTTTCTTTAACATATTCTGGGCAACTACTTTTGATATGAAATGTGACTTTTAGATGACTGCTTAATTTCCATTGTATGGTAATAATTTTTTACTCTTTTTAGCTGGTAGTAGTGCATACCTTTAAGCTCAACTCAGGAGGCAGAGGCAGGCAGATCTTTGAGTTGCAAGCCAGCCTGGTCTACACTGTGAGTTCTAGGCCAACCAGCTGTAGCTACGTAGGAAAATCCTGTCTAAATAAATAAATAAATAAATACTGTTTTCTCTATTTTCATTATTTAAATAGCTTGCCAAAAAAGAGTGTGGGGAGTGTTGGGATGTAATTTGATGGCAGAACACTGTCCTAGCTTGTATTAGGCTTTAAATTCAATACCTAGTTCTGAACAGGAAAAAAATAACTAAATTGTCTATAAATTGCTTGTAAGCTTTAAATTTATAAATTTGTTTCTGATTATTCTTCTAGGATAAATTCCTAGAAAGAGAATTGCTGTCAAATTGTGTGAGAATTATCAGTAGGAGCATCATCTGTGAAGCTCCCTGTGCCAGAAACCCGAGGCATTCTGGGGTCTTGTGACTGTGTTCTCAGTATCAGGCAGTCAGCAGCTGCTATCTCTGTGCCCGCCCTCTAGTTGGCATCACCTGCTATCTCACCCCCAGAGCTGCAGTACTACTCTTCCCCTGCCTGCCTTTCCCAGGCCATTCCCCATATTGTAGTCAGAGACAATTTTTTTTTTAAAGTCTAATGTTATTTATGTGCTTAAACCCTTTTCATAACATCTCATCACTTTTGACTGCAAACAGAAATGTGTGTTTTGTTGTGGAAGGCCCAGTTTCATCTCTCTTCCTGAGCTCAGGCTAATGGACTGTATTTTCAGTTTCTCTGTTTCCAGGGCTTTGCATCTTTCTACAACAGGCCTTTGTAGTTCTGTCCAGCCATGCTCTCTTTTTTCTTCTCCCCTTCCCTTCCCTTTACTTGGTTAATTCTTCCTTGAAAGTTATAAATGTCGCTTTTTCTTCTCCACACTTGTCCTCCTCCACCCCTCAAAAGAGAGTCTCAGTTGGTAGCTCAGACTGTCCTGGAACTCACAGTCTAGCCTTGAACTTGGAGTATCCTCCTATCTTAGCCTCCCAAGTGTTGGGATTACCTGCATGAGCCACCACACCCAACTTTATTTATATTTTTAATTGACATTAATTATATATAGTTTATATAGTATTTGATATTTCAGTATATATATGCATTATATAATATCACTATCAAAATATTGATGATTTCTCAAATATTGATCATTTCTTTGTAATGGAAGAATATATTCAAAATCCTTTCATTTAGCTTTTTGAAATATGCAGTATATCACCATTTTCTCGCTGTATGACAGAAGACCAGAACTTATCTCTTCTAACAGCAGTTAGTTCCCTTTGTCTGCTTTTCCCTATCTGTCCCTCTTCCCTGCTTTCTAGCTCCTAGTAAGCACTGTTTTGTGCTCAACTTCTATTACCCTTCTTTCCTAAGTATTATTGAATTTTATTTATCTGAATGGACTTTATAATTGCACAGAGTGCTCACTTTAAAGCACTCCTGCCGGGAACTGTGTGTGTGGAGGGAGTGTGGTGTGGTGTGGTATGCTATATGTGTGTTTGTAGTGCATGCACATGAGCGTGCAGGTACACGGGCCATGTGTGCATATGAAGACCAGAGCAGAATGTTGAATGTTTTACTGGTCTTGCTCTCCACCTTGCTGTCTGGACACGAAGTCTCTCATAGAACTAGAATTTTGTTGTTTTGACTTGGCCTGTGAGCTCTCATCATCCATCTATCTCTGCCTCCCAATGCTGGGGTTACAGGCATGTGCAGCCATGCCCAGCTTTTCATTCAGTCATTGAAGATTCAAACTCAGGTCCTCATGCTTGCAGAACGAGCACTTTACCCACTGAATCACCTCCCCAGCTCCCACCCCTGTTGGAATTTTAAATGAAAATTCATTAGGCTCTAAAAATTAATTTGGAAAGGCGTCTATACTGTTTTATTTTATTTCAATTATTATTTTTATTTTATGTATATGCATGTATTGCCTGCATATGGGTAAATGCACTCGTGTCGTGCAATGCCTGCGGAGGTCAGAAGAGGCTTTCAGATCCCCTGGGACTGGAGTTACGGACAGTTGTTAGCTGCCATGTGGGTGCTGGGATTCGAACCCAGGTCTTCTGCAAGAACAACCAGTGTTCTTAACCACTGAGCCATCTCTCCAGCCCCGTCTACACTGTTTTAAAAGTGTATGTTTTTAATCTCACAACACATTGTCTTCCTTTACCAAATCTGTTAGCAAAAGAAGATTTATAACTTTCATTTATTATAGCTATTATAAAGAAAATATTTTTGCCTATTATATTTTTCCAACTTGTTTTGATTGGTACATAGATAAAAGCCATTTATTTCTCTATATTGATTTTGTATTCAGCTACTTTTTGGTTTAGGTGGGTTTTTGTTACTGTAGGACTTCTAGATAGACAGGCATGTGGTTTTATAAATAATGATAATTTTTCTTCTACTGTATTGAATACATTTATTATTTCTCTTCTAAGTCTTATTTGAAATTTTTCTGGGATGCTTGAGTGGTATTAGTAGTGTTAATAACTGACTTTTAAAATAATTGGACTTGGGGTTGGAGAGGTGGCTCAGCTTTTAAGAGCATGTGCTGCTCTTGCAGAGGACTAGTTCCTAGCACCCATGTGGCAGCTTATAACCTTCTGTAAGTCCAGGGGATCTGATGACCTCTTCTGGCCTCCAAAGAGCATTAAACATACATGTGGTGCATGGGCATACAAGCAGGCAAAACGCTTATGCACATAAAATAAATTTTTTAAGTCTTTAAAAAAGTAATTGCTATTATATTTTACCTTTAACCGATATATAAAACTGTAAAAGCTGTACATATTAAGGGACCATGTTCAATATACGTATGCATTGCTAATGTTTACATTAGGTTAAACATATTTATCTCCCCAAATGTCTGTTAATTTGTGAAGAAAACTTTCAGAATCCTTTCTCCTAGCTCTTTAAGTGTATAATACATTATTATCTATATGGTCATGGGCATTAAAAAAAAAAAAACAACCTTTATTTTAGGAAGCAGATAGTGAATAGTACATAGGTCTTTGAACCCATTTTGAATCATATTTGTTTGTGCTCAGGTCTGGAAAGATGGTGCCGCCATTAAAGGCTAAGGCCGACAACCGTAACGTCAAATATACATGCTCAGTGTCAGTGTTATACCTCAGCTGGCAACTGATTTCAAAATACTGCTAAGCATCTCTAAGTTAGAGACTAGAGTAGTGATTTGAAAGTCCTGTTCAAAGCTCACACACCACTTATTCTGTCTTGTTTGTGGAATGATGAAATGCCAACAAAATGGAGAAATAGTTGCTTTCCTGCTAGGCAAAAAATATTTTAAGACCCTTTGTTATAAAATTAAAAGCAAGTTCCAGGACAGCTGGGGCTACAGAAAGACCCTGTCTCAAAAACAAACAAACAAATTTCTCAAACTTTGGTTTTTGATAGATTTTTATCTTTTAGATGAATGTGGTAAAGTTTTCCTAGTTCACAAAGTCAAGTGATAAATTGGTAAAACAGAGGAATTAGAATGATTCTTTGACAGTCACCCTGCTTCTACTCCATCTGTCATGTGATAGTCTTAAGAAAAATAAGGGAAGAGATAACGCTAAGCAGATCAGGAAGGATAAAGAGATGAAAGTCATTAAAAGAAGAGTTTGGATATTCCTCTGCTGATTCAGTTAATTTTGAAACCATCCCAAGTAAATATCATAGCGAATAAGATGTTCTAATAATAGAGCCTGACATTTACTGAGCATCTGCTGTGTGCCAGGCACCTCACTGCCATCCACTCATGAAAGAATGGCATGCTTTGCAAAGGAGATCATAAATTAACTTCCCTGTATTCATTTAAAATATTAATTTAAAATATATAAAAAATTAAGTATTTAAATATTAAAAATGCAAATTCCCAAACAATTTCATTTTTGTTTCAGAATGCTTCTCATATCAACATAGGAAAGAATTTTCTTTGGCTCCTCTTTCAAAGAGAGTCATCATGGTGGGGAAGGCAGGGCAGCTGGATCTGGGCAGGGCTATATAATCCTCTCACCTTGCCATTGCCACCCTACATCTGCCTACCAGGTCCCATGTCCAAAAGTTTCTACAGTCTTCCAAAACAGTGCCTCCAGCTGGAGATCACATATTCAAATACATATGCCTGTAGGAGACATTTCACAACACAAGGTCTTGCTATTTAGCCCAGGCTGGCCTTAAACTCCACACCTCAGCCTCCCTAGTGCTAGCATTGTTAAGCATGCAGTCCCGTGCCTGCCTGATTGAATTATCTTCTAAGTTCAAGACTATTTTTTGTTCATGTTCCTACATGCCTAAGCACCATGCTAATTACAAATTATATGCTTAATAAATTATTTTGAAGCAAATGATTTAATAAATGAACAGACGTTAAATGGGCATTGGCCAGCTAATGAGTCTGGGGAGCACTGTATGCTAAATGTGCAGTACAAAGTAGAAAGTTTTCAAAAGCATGTTTGAAATTCAAGAATGTAAGCATATAAAGTGTCAGACTAATGACAGCAACATGTGTGACTGTATTAGTTACTTTTCTTGTTACCATGACCAAATACTGGACCAGAAGATGCTTAAGGGAAGAAGGGCTTATTTTGGCTCTCAGTCTGAAGAGAAACCACTCATTATTGTAGCACAGAGGCAAATCCTGGTCTTCCTCAGGCTTTCTTATTTTTCATTTTTCATGTCACCAGTGGGATGGTGCCACCCACATTTTGGATGGATCTTCCTTCAGTTAAACGTTTCTGGAAATGCCTTCATAGGCATGCTCAGAGATGTGTTCCCTCGGTGATTATAAATCCAGTCAGGTTGACAGTGCAGATTATCACAGTCATGTAGCCTCTGGAGAATACGGCAAGCTCATGAGCAATTGAGAATGAAAAGGGCAAATAACAGCATTATTAGGAAGTGGTTTTGACCTCACAGATACAGATTCCCCCAGAGGGTCTTAGAAAATTAGATCATACTATAATAAAAAATATTGGATGTTTCTCTCTCTCTCGTTTGCTTGCTTGCTCGCTTGTTTGCACACTTTTGCTCTTTTGCTCACTCTCACTCTATCTCCATCTCTTCTCTATAGCCCAGGCTGACCTCAAACTCAAGGTCCTTCTACCTCAGCTTTAAAAAGCACTGGGATTATAGGTCTGGTTTTCATCTTAAGAATAAAACCATGGGGCTGGAAAAATGGAAGATCACTGACTGCTCTTACAGAGGGCCAGGGTTAGATTCCCAGCACCCACATGACGGCTAACAACCATCCGTAGCTCCAGTTCCAGGGGGTCCAATGCCTTCTTCTGACCTCTGTGGGCATTGCATAATATGGGTGCACTTACACATATGCAGGCAATACACACATACACATAAAATAAAAATAATAAATAAAATACTAAAAAATAAAACCATGTGGGTTTTTTATGTTTTATTATGGGTGATGTAAATAGTTATGAGTTAGCACAAAACTCATTTTTAATTATTGGTAAACAGTATTTTTGGTTGAAAATTACCTTAATTTTAAAAGAAAACTGTATTTAGAGACTACATTGAAATTACGCATTGAAAGTTGCATTCTCTTTCAGTTCCCCAGTTTGAAACTGCATGTAGTTATGTGGATGCTACACTTAAGGAATTTCTGACCTGGAACTATGACCAGTCTGGTGTCGCTGGGCCATTTAAAGATTACAGCAATTCCAAATTCTGGGCTTATGCTGACTATAAATATTTTGTCAATGTATTTGAAGACATGACAGATATTTTCCAGGTAAGTTTTGCGTTCTTTATAATCTTGATAAGAATTTGCTCTTGGGAAATATCCTAACTTAGAATGTCACTGGTACTTTCTTCTTTTACTGCCTTTTTCTCTTTAAAGTAGTCACCTTGGAATTTGAGCATTTCAGCCACTGGAGCCAAGAGACCTGCTTAAGAGAGGTGTGACATTTGGCTGGCACAGATGAGCAGTCTTCTGTATTTTCCTGCTCTCTACTTCCTCCACACCCCTCCTTCACCTTTAAACAATGTCTGAATGGCATTGTACTGCTAAAGCATAGACTGTGTGGGAAACTTCATTTCCCCCTGAGCTAGATGGAAGTCCTGTTCTGTCAGTGAAGTGGGTAGAGGTACAAATTCAGAATACTCCTCAGGCTGACCGGACAGCCTCCCAGTTCTCTACTCTGGGGCTGTGTATAGTATACTATGTTCTCTGGTGGCTTATAGCCTGAGGCAGAGGATCCAGGGCTCTTGGTATTAGTGGTAGAAGCCCCACACAATGTGGGAATACTTGGGGAAGTAAGAATATAGAAGTTCTTTGCTGTGTGTTGACATAACTGACAACAGAATTTGTAGGCTACCATATTCTTTTTCTGTTAAGTATTTTTTGCCTCAAACTGACAGTTTACTTCATGGGTGAATCTGCAAATTCTGCCCTCTGGTTTCTATTTTGCCCTGGGTGTGGGGGTGAGAGTGGGAGTGATCCCAAGAAGCTCATTTGTATGACTCTGCCTTGCCCCAGATTCATAGCTCCAGAGTCCTCCCTGCTAGCCTTCTCTATCAGGCGGCTCCCTCTACCAGCCTCCCCGTCACCCTACCCTGCACCTTGCTCTACCCTGCACCGTGCTCCTTCCACAGTGTGTGCTGGGTCTTTGGCTCTCACCTGGTTCCTGGTCAGTGCATATTTTCCTTTTTCTCATCAAGTCAAGGTATTCTTATATATGCCTACTAATACTTTGTGATTTTCCTTTATTAACTTTTAAAAATGTTTAAAGAATTTTACTTTTTATAAAAAGAGGAATAATATACACCCTTGCCCCCATAGCTATTAACTGAGCCTGCCTCTGTGCCTCTTTCTGTCTCTTTTCTCTTCATTTCCTTTCTCTCCTTCTTCCTTTCTTGAGATCTAGCTGTGTAGCCCAGGCTGGCCTTAACCTCACAGTCCTTATCTCCATTTCCTGAGTGCCTAGGGTCTCTTTACTCTTTAGCCATGAAATAAAATGGGTTGATTTTAAAAACATTCAGTGAATACTTCTGAAGCTAAAGTCCATACCAAATCATTTTAAAATGATAATTCTAAGGCAGATGATTTTTCTTATAATTTTAGATCACATTATGGATCTTTAACCCTGGAACTCATTGATTTCATAATGAACTTTTAAAATACTTTGGTTCTTTCTTGCACTCTGTAGATTGTACTGCTACCTTTTCCCACCATATTTCATTAAAATCTTGTATAATAGTAGTATTTATCAAGTACTTATCCTTGGCACTTTTCTAAGTGCCTTACATTTAGAATCCTCACAGTAATGCTATGATTTACTAATTGTCACTATTTTAAGAAAAGTGTGCTTAAAAAGGGGTTAGTCAAACAGGGTGCAGCACTTCTCGCCATGCCAAGCCCATAGCTCGCACCACCTTGAGTGACTCTCATCTGCCCCTCAGTTGTCTGTCCCAGGTATTGCCAGAGCTGGGCAACATGTGACCTGCCATTAAGTGTGGATGTGAAAGGCAGCCTGTTGATAATGTGTTGGAGTCCTAATTAAGCCCTTACGAAATCTGCTATTTTTCATTGCCTGAGTTTTGTGTCAGTTCATGTTAAGTTAATTAGTTCTGCTAGGAACAATCAAGTCTATTAAGATTACATCGTCTTTTTCTCACAGTTTTCCAGGCTCCAGCGCTTCCTACATCACAGTTCCCAAGTTCTTGTTTTTCTTTTTAGTAATATAATTCATTCAGACACTAAATCTTATTTGTTATTGTTTCAAGTTTTTTTATGTTGGCATGGTAAGCATTAATAATGATACATTATAAACTCAATTCAGCCTGGCATGGTGGCACACACTTGTGATCCCAGCACTTAGAAAGCAGAGGCAAGAAGATCAGCAGTTCAAGGCTAGCCTCTGCTACATAGCACATTTAAGACTAGCCTAGGCTACATAAGACCTGTCTCAAGACACCATAAAGCCAAAGAAAACAAAACAAACAAAAACAATAAAAAAACCCATAAAAAATGTTGATTAGAAAATTTTATTTTAAGAAAGTATTTTAAATTCGAAGAAGCACAGGTTGGTTTACATTTTTGCAAGTTCTTTTAATGTCTGGCTATGGTGAACTATCATATCTGTTTCTCCAGCTGTTGGTCTATTAGAAGATGAAACAAATATTGTCTCACACTCATACGCAGCTTTAAAAAGAAGTATTTAACAGTCTTCTCAGATAATTGTGGATTTTTTTTGTATCACACCAAAATTGGTAAGGACTGTTTTCTTGAAAGTTAATTAGTTGCCGGATAGAATCTGAACCCTTAATCAGGGAGCTCTTCATCCTCTTACATGAAGTCCCTTGGTCCAGCTTGCACAGAATTTATCTTCTGCGACACCATTCACTGACTGTTTGGAGTATGTTTACTGAATCATGAGGCTTTCCAAATGTTGGGATGTTGCAGGTACTTGGTACATTTCATCATTTAAAAAGTTGGGGGCTGGAGAGATGGCTCAGTGGTTAAGAGTATTGACTGCTCTTGCAGAGGACCTGAGTTCGATTCCCAGCACCCACATGGCGGCTATGAACTGTCCTTAACTTCAGTTCCAGGGGAACCCGAAGCCCTCTTCTGACCTCCGCGGCTTTGCAGGACATGGGTGCCCTCACATATATACAGACAATACATTTATATACATAAAATAAAAATAATAAAATATTTTTTAAAAAAGATCTTACAAACTAAAAACAAAGTCACATTTGTTGCTGTTACTTGTGTATTTACAATTTTAGTAGTCAGAGGCTTCCAGGGTCATTCAACTCAAGGCACAGTTTCCAAAAATATTTTATTCAGTCCAAAATATTTGCTAACTTCTCTTGAGATTTATTCTTTGATTTGATGATTATTTAGAAGTATATTGTTTGCTTTAAATATTTGGCCGTTTTCTAATTACCTTTCTGTTTCTGGTTTCAAATTTAATTTCATTGTGGTCAGGGAATATACTTGGCATAATTTCTGTCCTTTTAAATGTATGCAAATTTGTTTTATAACTCAAAATATGGCTAATTTTAATAAGTGTTCCATGCAAGTTGGAAATGAAATGAGTTCTTTCGTTGGGTAGAATGTTTTATAAATGTCATTTAAGTCGGGTTAGAGGTTCAAGTCTCCTAAATCCTTATTGATTTCTGTGTATTTGTTCTACCTATTGTGTAGAGAAGCACTGAAGATCCAGTTGTGATTTTGTGGTTCATTTTTCTTATTTTAGATTGGTCAGGTCTGTCTCAGGCACTTGAAGGCTTTACTGGAGTTGTATTGTATTTAGGACTGTGATGTCCTCTTGGATATCTTTTGTCTTGATGAAATGAGCTTCTCTACTTTGGGTTCTTCCTTGTTGTGATATTTACTTTGTTTAGTTTGCCTTTAACTAATATTAGCATGAAAAGAGAATAGTTAGTACACTACTCTGTTCCCATAAAATTCTAGCAGTGACAAACTATAGTGTCAGAGCAGATCAAGTCAGTGGTTGTCAGATGAGCATGTTAGGAGATGTGAGTCATGAGGGGACACAGAAAATTCTGAACACAGCACAATGTTTGCTGTCTTAATTATGGTGATGGACTCTCAGATATGTACCTATGTTCCAGGTCATCAATTGTATGCTCTAAATATATGGTGTTTATCGCACATTGTCTATACCCCAGTGAAGCCTTTAAAAAAATTCAATGCTACAGTATACTTTGTTCCCATTCGTTGACACTTTTATTCACCATTGCCTACACAACATCAGTGCCAACATCAACATGGTGAAATAGGCAAATAACTTATTAGCATTTCGTAGTTTCCACGTCACAGATCCCCTGAAAGGGTCAAAGGTAACCCCTGTGTGTAACATCGCTTTTGTAATTGCACGAAGCCTCCGGTTCTGACTCCTCTGATTCTAAAAGCATTTCTGATGAAAAATATGCTCTTCAAATCATACTCCAAATTAAATCTTAAGATGCATTAGTCATGTTCACAAACATTTCAGAATTCACAATTATGTAGGGCAGTGTACCCTTCCCAGCGCCTGAGCCTGCCCATCTCCTCTGAATGAGCCGCCCCCGCCTCCAGCTTCCTCACTTACTGCTGTGCATGCCACCTCACACCTTCTCTGTGCTCCTGCCCATCTCTCTTTCTCCCTAGTAAGTGCTACTTGGGAGCTGGCTCAGATTCAACCTTGACTATGAAACCTAACGACTTAACACACATACATCCGTTGCCTTCAATCTTGTATGCTTTATTTGAATTGATATTTAAATAGTATATTGTGTCTTGATCCTTTAACAGTACTGCAGTTCTTTGGGCTTTGCTCTTTACTTTTTTATTCCTTAAAACTGCTAACATAGTGTTGAATGCATAATAAATATTAGAATGATTGTGTGTGTATGTGTGTGTGTGTGCGCACGCATGCCCCTTCTCTTACCAATTTTTGTTTTGGTATTTCTTTATTCTTTAGCACTTTTTGAAGAGCATGTTCACTTAAACCCTTGGCCTCACCCTTCTCAAATTTTTGGTGGCTTCTAGTTGAGAAATTTCTAGGTCTCTTCAGCCACTCCCTAGTTTTACAAGTTTTAACTTAGAATTTCTATTTAAAGTTTTCCATCTATTAACTCTTTTCCTCATTAGAGCAAATTAATCCTCTGTTGATGTACATGTGTTGCTAAGTACACTCATACATGTCCCAATATGACTGGGAAATATCTAGTAGTCTTGCAGGTGGCCTAAAATTATGATTTTGACACTTACCTGACTTT